TACCCCTTGCTGTGAGGATATTGCTGTAATAAAGGTCACAGCGATCTCTCTTTAACAATCTGAAGCCTGTAGAAGCCGTTCTGATGCCAGTCAGCCTCGGGCAAGTCAAATTCTATCCAATTATGCTTCACTGAAAACATTGGCTTCTCGAGAAATCCTCTTAAAGGTGCACACTGCCTTCAGGCGCACAGTTTATTTTTTTCCCCCATGTGTTGGGAGCGGAGAGGATGAATTTTATTAGCTTCTGTGAAGAGCGAGGTGAGGATAAAGACCTGGAGGAGAAGCCTTGATGTTCCACAGCATCTTTCGTCTCATAAATAATCCTGGAATTTGCTACTCATTACCTTCTCATGAGAGGAGGGGTTCTGAAAATGCCTCACGGAATTCACTGCAAAGTGCAGTGGACTCTGTTTTGCAGGTCAACGCAACAGCCAGTTTGTTGATCAGTTTGATTTGGAGGATTGTTGGCCAGGACACCGAGAGAGAGAGAGAGAGAGAAAATCTCCCTTCTCTTTTTCAAATAGCACCGTGGGATCTTTAGCGTCCTCCTGAACAGGCAGACAATCAGTTTAATGACCCATCCAGAGGACAACATCTCCAACAATGCAACGCTCTCCCTCTCTCCTGCACCGGAGGATCAGCCTAGACTGTGAGCTCAACGTCTTGCGGGTGGAGCTTGAACCCACAATCTCTTGACTCCCAGGTGAGAGTGTTACTGACTGAGCCAGGCTGACACCTAAATGGAGTAACAATTGCGGAATGAACTTGTACATTTTGCTGTTCAAACCATCCCAGACTCCCAACTGGAAGTGTAATTCGAGTGATCTGTTTGGCACTTGTTTGCCCGGGTAATGATGCACAGCGAGATCCCAGCAATATCTCGTTCATCTCGGTAATTAAGAGTCGACTTTGAACAGATGCTTCCTATTTGGCAACTGGCTCTGCAGCTGATGGCTATATTTGCTTCAGAGGATGTTTGCGAGGAGAGCGAGCGAGGGAGGGAGGGAAGGAGGGAGGGAAGGAGGGAGGGAGCGAGCGAGGGAACGGTCACAATCCTCACCAGGTTTGAGACGGATTTTGTTTCAAACATCTGAGGGAGGGAGAAATCCTAACTTCCTGCCGTTTGCTATTATAATCCTTGTGTTTGATGCAGCGCCTTTCACAACAGGAAGAGGCCTTTAGGCTTGAGAGAAACTTGCTGTAAAGCGGCATCTCTCTAGCGAGCACCTCCTGTGTAGCCTTAGGATGAGACGTTAAACAAAGGTCACATCCGCCTGTTCAGGTGCTTTGAGTTCCTCAGTCTCTAGACTCTGAAGCCAGTTGGGTCGAGTTGGGCAGCAATGAGATTCGCTTCAATAATCTTTCCATTCGATACAGTGAAATCCTCGCGACGTCTTCAATGCTTCACAGGATTTACTGTAAAGTCTGTTTATTGCAAAAACATTTACATACAAATCAATACAAATTTACATCCATGCAACGCCTTTCACTTCGGGAGGATATCGCAAGGTGCTGAGCAATCTGGTTGAGGGTGGGTGAGGGGGTTGGAGGGCGAAAGGAGGTGAGAGCCAAGGGATGTGATAGGGGGCGAGGGAATTGGGGGGGGGGTCGTGAGGGAGTGGAGGGGGAAAGGGGTTTGGGGGGCAAGGGTGTGGGGGAGTGAGGGAGTGGAGGTGTGAGGGAGTGGGGGGAATGAGGGAATAGGGGGTTCGAGGGAACGGGGGAGTCGAGCGAATGGGGATGGCAAGGGAATGGTGGGGTGGGAGAGGGCGTGAGGGGACGAACGAATGGAAGGGGTGAAGGAGTGGAGTGGGGGGAGAGCGAGGGAGTGGGGGGAGAGCGAGAGAGTGGGGGGGAGAGCGAGGGAGTGGGGAGATGAGGGTTGAGGTGGAACTTGTAGGAGATGAGGAAGGTTCCAGAAGGTGGAGCTGGAGGTACCATGGCATGGATTTCCAGAGAGAGAGAGAGAGAGTGGGGGCAGATACACTGACTGCTGATGATGGGGGCAGACACACGGGAATGTGATGCAGGCCAGTGTCCACTGACTAGAGGGACTGGCTGCGTTGGTTAGGTGTCGTTGAGACGTCTCAAAGCGCTTCACAGGATGTACCGTAAAGTGGAGTGACTGTGTATTTTGTGGGCCGGAGTAACAGCCAATTTGGTTTAAAGTCTCGTCCAAAGGACAGCACCTGCAACAATGTCACCCCCCAGCACTGATTGGAGAGTCAGCTGAGACTTTATGCTACCAGGAGAAACTCCCTTTACTCTCCCGATGGTGTCACAGGATCTTTAACGTCCACTGAGCTGAACTGACAGACTGCATCAGTTTAGCAAAAGTATTGGCTGAGTTTAAATCACGCAGTTACAAGTGGGTCAGCCGGGTATAGCAATCACCACAACAATACAGTCTGGTTTACGCTATTGATGAAACCTTCCGACTCGGAAGCGCTGCTGTGAAGCGCTTTGAGACATCTCGAAGACGTGATAAGGCGCTATATCAAATGCAAGGATTGTTATTGTTATTATTATTATTTATCTCTCCCTTTTACACTTCCCAATCGCACCTTCCTGGAGTGTCCGTCTCAGCACAGGGCGTTGCGTTTACACAAGGCGTCATGAAAGGTCTCTGCTCCTCAGTTACTGGAGGTGATGGTAAACCGTTGGCTTGTTCGATCAGCTTGACGTCTGAGCTAATCTTCAACTCCAGGAGCCTACGCTTCAGATTGCGACTTGATACCAAAGAAGTGGTTAGAAAATTGCATGGCCTCCTCCAACACATTTATTGACTGGAACCTTGTTAATAACAAGAGGGGATCGATACCCTTTGCTGTTGCCTGGGGGCACGGATTAGTCAATATCTCAAGTGATGGCAGGGAACCGGCTTACAGACTGAAGTATCATTCATTTGGTCAACTCCCATGTGCTTTAGTTTCCCCTCTCACAGTCACTGACCTGACAAGGCACGGTAGTATTCTCCTCCCCCACCCAAATGCTATTTCCTGCATCCGTGCAGCATGCACAAAGTTATGTTAGCGGGGATCTGACGAGCTTGAAGTTGTCCATTTTAGCTTCATGCCCCCCAAAAAAGCGGGGTCATCTGGTTATCCCCAATTACGCTTCCTGCTTTGGCTGGCAACTCCAGCCAACCCAGGATGTCCACCCGATGTGAAAGGCGCTATTATAAATGTAAATTTGATCAATGATGTTGGTTTGAGCTCAGTGAAACTGGTTGTTTCACCTCCTAATAGGATTCCCATCGTCCGGTTCCACTGTACGCGTCAAACTCTTTGGAGATCGAGTGCGACCAAGTCACTCACTTACTTGCTGACCAGAAACAACATACAGTGGGGTGTGGGCACCCTCAGCCCATTCCAAATTAATAGGAGAAGCTTGGCATACATTGAGTGTTAATTCTATATCCCAGATTTCTATAGTTTCTAACAGGGATTTGATTTATTAAGTAACAATGGTAATGGGGCACATCATTGGCTCCCAGCACTGGAGCATTCACACAAAGGCTTTTTTTTGCCGCTAAAACTCTGTTCTCCTCTCTTGAATCCTCTGGAAATAGTCAATAATATTCCTTGCATTTTGTAAAGCACCTGAGGCATTTGCCTACAAATTTATAGGAACATAGGAGTTAGGAGCAGGAGAAGGCCATTTGGCCCCTCGAGCCTGTCACTGTGGGTTGGCACAGACACGATGGGCCAAATGGTCTCCTTCTGCGCTGTATGATTCTGTGGCTACACTACACAGTATATCTTGCAAAGTGCTTTGAGACATCTCGATGTGCTCTCGTGGTGTTCCAGGGATCATTGACTGAGGGGTCCTGCTTTCTCTCTTGTGAATAAAGCTATGAAACCCAGACCAAATAGAAGCATGGAGTGGGTATAAATAGGAGCAGAACCCATGTTGTATTTGCTGAGCGCGTGCTGGCTGAGAGGACTGTCATACTCAAGTACCCAATGGATGTTTTCACTTCTGCTTCAGTGAAGTGTCCTCTTCTGGACAGCAAAGGAAGAGCCCTTCAACAAAGAGTTTTCTTCCTACAGAAAGCATCACTTGAAAACTGAAGGAAAATTGATCTTTAAGGGAAGGATGCCTCCGCAATGACTGGCACCTTCCCTTGACCTCTGCTCTCAGCCTGGAAAGAAATGGGGGTGAGACTGGGAGTGGAGGAGTTCAGGAACTTGTTTATGCCACATGTCAGTGGGCTACTCTGCTATCTGTCAGGCCTGGGTTTCTGTGCAGTCCAAATGAATGGGTGAAAGCTAAGCACTCCCAGTCGTTTGGCTGTAAACATCAGATTTTCCCCCACAAAATATACAGTCAACCCACTTTGTACTATATTCTGTGAAGCGCTTTGAGATGATGTGATAAGGTGCTATGTCAAATGTAAGGATTATTATTATTTTTAATCAAAATATATATATTTGTTGATGTATATTTATGTTTGTCTCAGACACTATCCCTCTGTACATTTCTACAGCGTCGCCCTGTATGTTTGCATGGTTACATACGTTTATTCACAGTTTTGGGTGCCCTTGTGGATTACCTGATGAGCGCACCCCAATGTCGCCCTCTCACGATGGGGACCCTGGCTCATGGCCATGATAAATAAATAATAATAATAATAATTATTATATTATAGCAGCTGAGCTCAGAGCTCCTCTTCTGAAGGGAGTAACAAATGGTCCTTATGTCTTACAAGAGCTTTATCACATCAGCTACCATGTACAGTCACTACACTGTGGCTGTCATGTGAATGAAGAGCCTATGTGTGATGCTGCATTTACTTTAAGACTCCTGAATGCGCTTCACAGGGTTTACTGTGACGTGTAGTGACTGTATTTTTGGTGAATTCTAGTGGGGCCTTTTGGACTAACTTACTTGTTGGGTTAAATTGCCTTCAACACCCCTAAACCCACTTGGGTTCATCTGTTGAACGTTCTGAAACCCTGTGTTCGAATCCCAACCCCTCGTCTCCTTTTGTTATCCAGGCGTTGATTCTAATTGTCTTTTGCTGCTGGAAGAGAGAGGTTGCTGTGGAGGGACAGCCAGTGGCACCCTGCACGCTGTCGATGGAAAGCTACATCCAAGCTTGGTGTGTGCCCGGGGACTGAGAGCTGATTGACACGTCAGGTGAGAACCAACTTTTATATCGATATCTCTGTTAAACACACAACAGCGAGGCTCGGTGATGCGTTCTCCATCTCCCCAATAGCCTCTTTACAATCATATTAACATCTTAACTGTCTCAACATGGCTGACTGGCTCAAAGTAATCTCTCCCGTGTTTATTCATGGGGGTCAAATGCCCACATTCTGTTCACCATTGAGCACAGATATTTCTTTCTGTCTAGTTATTTGTTGCAAAATCCTTCAGACTATAGATACACGTCACCTTTTCCTATCCGCTTTTCTCGTTCCTTCCTCTGATGACCCACACACAGGCTTCTGATACCTGTTAGCTTAACCTTCTCCATTTCTCTGTTGAACCTCCTGGAGCTCATTGCCTTCCACAGAAGTCTGCCTACCCAAAACACAAACAAAATACACTGGCCTCCAACTCCAGAAGGATGTGGGTTCAAGCCCCACATCAAGACTTCAGCTCCCAGTTTAAGCTGACAGTCAGTACAATTCCGGGCAACCTCCGCTCGACTGATTCCATCCTCCTGCTTGTCCCTCTGTTCCACCATCAGCCACCACACCTCGAAACTCTGAAACACTCTTCCTCTCTCCCTCCGCCTTGCCCCTTCCTTCCCCATCGTCAAGTCTCGCCTGGAGACCTTTCTCTTTGACCGTGCCAACGGTCACCTCCCCCTTCCCCCCCGGCTCGGAGTCGTGCTCCGCCACTGCCAAGCGCTCTGGGACGCTACCCTGCATGAGGGCAGCTGTGTAAATGCAAGTTGGCATTGTCGTCGTATGGTTGGAGGTGCTGTTCTTCGAATGACAAGTGTGAATAGCCACGTTTTTAACAGTAAGTGTTGTACAGTATCTGTCTGTTCAGGTGAAAGTGAGAGGGATCCGATGGCATAGCGAGTGACCTGGCAGAGAAACTGAGTCGTGTAAGACAATGGAGGAAACTACCCCAAATATCCTGGCTGGTTTTGCTGCTGTGGTGGACGCTCAATCCCACTGTTCGGCTTGACCAGGCACGAGAAATGTTTCGCGCAAACAAAAAGGGGTGGTTCATCTCCTGGTCAACTGATGTCAGCATCTACGGATGAATTGCATGACTCAGTCACCCAGTTAACGGTGGGCGTGCGGACACGGTTTTAACGATGTCTCAACACCTCCCATTGCTCACCCTTCTCCAGTGTAGTGACTGTGTATTTAAGAGGAGTTGGTTCCCAGAGAAAGCAGGACTCGGATCAGTGAGACTGAAAAGAGTCTGAGGTATTAACCTGATGTTATGGAAAGAGCTTGCGTTCTTAGAGCACCTGTATTGTGTCAAAACCGTTCAAGGCACATTGAATAACTGTTGGCGTAGTGACTGTTTTAGCAGGTAAATGTCGTACGGTCCTAGATATGTGAATGAGCAATTATTCCGGAGGATTCTTGGCTTGGACGCGAGGAGAAATTCCCTTCTCTTTTCCGAACACCGTTGCTGGAAATTCCATCCGGGTCTAGATTTACTCTTTGTACTTTTCGTAGGATTCTAAAATGTGCAGAATTGGGGAAAGTGTTGAATTCAGTCTTAAATTTAAAATTGTTTTTTCTGCCATCCTTAAATTTTTTTTATGGAAAACAGCTTCAAGATTTAAGGTGGGAGTCCTTCAGCACTCGCCTCGCAAGCGAGAGGCCCCGGGTTCGCTTCCCGGGCCGGGCAAAACGTTAGGCAAGTTTCCTTACCCACGTGGTCGTTAGTCAATTGGTGGATTGTTTTCCGAGGGGAATATTCGCTCCAAAAAAAATATTTAAAAAAAATGTGGTCACTTAATTCAATACTGTTTGAGGGACACTGCCGTGCGCAATTGGCTGACCCGTCTCTCAAATGCCTGGAGACCTCTCAACGAAATGCTAAGGCGCTATAATAGATTCCTGCCTATCCAAAGACTTGGTACGTTCCACAGACGTGCTAATTGCCCTTCTGTGCGGTGACATTGAAAAGGTCTCAGGGCCACTATGTTCCATCCAGTGTTCATTATCTCCAAGTATACGTCTTGTTGTCACCATCAATCCCCTTTCTAACGAGCTTTCCAACCAGCTTCTTTTAAGAGTGTTAATTGACGTGCCATCAACTGGCTTCACCGCGTATCTCCAACTCTGTGGGGGAATTCTTTCTCATCTAATAATATCTTGCTCGAGGCCTGTTAATTTGTACTCTGGTTCAGTACATTTTAAATACCCTCTTTACATCTGCTCTGTGCATTGCTCTCAGCTTTGAACACTTGAATCACTCCTTTTCTCCAATGACAGCTTGAGGTGAGAGGCTCTGGCCCCAGGTCGGGACTTGAGCTTGTAATCTTGGCTAAAGTATGCCCCCACCTTTCAGCTAACTTAGCCCTGCAGCTACCCACCCCCCCACCCCACTACTTGTCATCATTAATAGCCCCGCCTTCAATCACTGCCCATTACCCCCTAATCTCTGGAACTCCCCCCCTCTACCCTTCTATGGCTCTATATGATATGGGGGAAAGAGGGGGGAGTGGGACTGATTGGGTGGCTCTTCCAAAGAGAAGGCATAGGCATGATGGGCCGAAAGGCCTCCTTCAATGCTGTAATATTCTGTGATATCTCTCTGTCTCGCCCCCCTCTCTATCTGCCTTTAAATCCTGTCATTGGTCCCCTCTCCCCCTTCCCTTGCTCAGCATCTGACCCATGTTTGTAAAGTGGTCCAAGCTATTATCCTATGTGAAGACTGCAAGTTGGTGTTTAGTGGAAACCCATTGCCAGAGCTTAAGAGATCCAACCAGTCAGAGTTCCTCATTTTCAAGCCACTGCAAATGGAATGTGCCCCCCTCTCTCTCCACCAAGGGCTACACCCTGGTTACCTAATTTCAGAGAGTGTGAGGTGCAGGTTGACCAAAGCCAAGGCTTGGGATACCCCTAAGTGTGGGTTGGGGGTAACTACTCATTTGTTGAGTCATGTAGTTCAGTGGTTAGAGCACTCGCCTCGCAAGCGAGAGACCTGGATTCGATTCCCGGGCAGGGTGAAATGTTGGGCAAGTTTCCTTATTCCACACGCCTCTGTTTATCCAGCGGTAAGTAGGAACCCGGTTGTTAGTCGATTGATGGATCGCTTTTCCAGGGGTAATAATCCCTTAAAAAAAAATCGATCACTTCAATCCACGACTGTTTGTGGGACACTCCTGTGAGCAATTGGCTGCCGCTTTTCGCCCACAAAATATACAGTCTATTCACTTTACAGTATATCCTGTGAAGCGCTTTGAGACGTCTCAAAGACGTGATGAGGCGCTATATCAAATGCGAGGATTATTATTATTATATATAAACCACACAGCCTGCCATTGGCAGTACTGTCTGACAAGCTTTCTTGCTGTTGAATTGCCTTTGGATGCTTGCTCCTAAACTCTGCTCAATCCCTGCTGGTGATGTTAGTAAAGTGAGTGTTTAGGCTCTGGTAAGAGAACCTTTTTCAGACTACTGAGCTTCAGAGGAAGAAACATCTCCTGCACAAGTGATCAAACGGCACGGAAGAGCTGGGTACCCTGGAGTTGGTGGATGGTGCCTGACAGGAGGTTGGAGGGAAATTCAGTAAAATAAATGTTTTGACAGATTTCAGGTAGGAAAATAGAACACTGAAATAAAAGGTGCTGGAGCTCACATAGAACGAGAGAAAATGATTCCATTTAGAGCAGTTTATCCCACAAAATATACAGTCACTCCACTTTACAGTATATCCTGTGAAGCGCTTTGAGACATCTTGAAGAGGTGCTGTATCAAATGCAAGGATTATTATTAGTAGTAGTACTACCTGCTTGGTCTCTATTCTCTGGACTGTTGTTCTTTAGAAACCATTCCAACTGTTGACAAGTTCCTGTCCATCTGCGTGTGAGGTGATCGCGGTATTAGCCTGGCCAGTGGTGGACTTCAGGCATGACCTGAAAAAGGGGAAGGAGGGGACGAGTGGATGGATTGGGGGAGGGAGTTCCAAACCTTCGGAGAGTAGAGGCTGGAAACATGGCACCCGAAGGTGAAGTAGAGGGGACAAAGGACAAGCAGGAGGTCGAAGCCAGTCAAGCGGAGGTGGTGGAGCACAAGCAAGAGGACCTGGGTTCGATTCCTGGGTGGGGAATTTCCTTACTCCCCACGCCTCTATTTATCTAGCAGTAAGCAGGAACCTGGTTGTTAGTCAATTGGTGGATTACTTCCAGGACTCTGGACTCAGTTAATGCTGGGATAGGGAGGAGGCTGGTGGTTCTGGAAGGATGAGAATCAAATAGGACTTCTTAATAATATTAATAATTGACAATAAAACCACCATCGGCAGTTGGGTGGATTTACAACAACAACAAAATTACATTTATTAATTAACCTCTGTGCCCCCACCCTTTGGAACTCCATCCCACAGCCCCTTCTCCTTGCTCCCTCCCTTGCCTCCTTCAAGGCCCGTCTCAATAGCTTTCTCTTTGACTGCACCTTCGGTCACCCTCCTACCCTCACCCTCCCTGCCCACCACCCTCTGATCCCAACCATCTGCTCGGGTCTAAATCCCTGACTGTCCAGCGCCTTGGGACGTCCTCCCGACGTGAAAAGCGCTATATCAAATGCAAGGATTATTAAATGTAATTTGTTGTTGTTGTTGCTGTTGATGCTCACATTTGCTAAAGCAACTTTCACATTAGGAAAATGTTTCAAAGTGCTTCACAGGATATACTGTAAAATGCAGTGACTGTGTGCATTTGAATTTGACTCTCTATTGTGACACACGCCCTTTCTTTCAAGATTCCCTGCGATCACGTCTCCTCAGGAAAAACACCATTGGGCTTTTGAATGACATTTCTAACCTGGCCGTCTCTTTCTCTAATTGTTCCCTCTGACCCAAGGCAACACTGGTCTCCTCTTAATCCTCATCAGCAGGGCGTCCTGTTACCACTTACTCACTCACTCACTCACACACACACACTCTCTCACACATACATATACATCATCTGGACATCTAAATACAGTTAAACA